TCTATCTATCTATCTATCTATCTATCTATCTATCTATCTATCTATCTATCTATCTATCTATCTATCTATCTATCTGGCAGAAGGTATATACATATTTGTACTCTAATTTAATATACTTTTATGGTGTATGGCACAACGAATGAACTATAATTATCTAATATAACTTGCTAGCTAAATGACTAACTCACTAACTCACTGTATGGCTCTCTAATTGTTTTTGAATGAGAGGTTGCCAAACTTTTATGTTATTTTCACCTCTTGCACCCTCTTGTTTCTCCTACTCCAGCCCAAGTGTTGATTTTGTCTACCTGTCAAAACTAAATGCCTTGAACCAGCAAAGCTCGCAGTATGAAAAAGGCATCATTCACTTACTCTCAACACGTCACTTCTAGTGGGAACCTGTAGATAGATAAACCGGGACTCTCAGACTGCTCACCATCGGCCTGTGTGTGTGTGTGTGCGTGTGTGCGTGCGTGTTTGTGTCGGTGCGCACGCGCGTGCACCCCGAAAAGGGGGAGAGCGCGCGTTGTCAGGGGGCGCGGCCGAAGCCTCGCGCCCGCGTTGCTAAGCGCAAATTTGTATATAAGTGCAAAAATGAGCGGCGATCCCGCTCAGCCTGCGGCGTCCTGAGAGACCTGAGGAATTCAGCAGGTACCGACAGACAGTCAGCGGCTCTCTGTCCTGCTGCGGCGTGGATGTGGAGCTTGAAAGAGACCCCGGCTGTCTGAGCTCATCATGTCTGATGGATGGATTTAAGTGCTCTCTGTCAGTCCGCGCTGATCTCACGACGGTTCCGCATCTGGAGGGTTAAATCAGGCAGAAAATCAAGAACACTTTAGGACGAAGAAATACTTCTTGCTGCTTGTGAGTATAAGATTATGCTTTTTGCTTTGGTTGCTAATTCCATTTAGGCGTAATAATAATAATAATAATAATAATAATAATAATAATAATAATATTTGCTACCTAGTAAGGTTTTTCTCAATCTTTATTTAAGTAAGCATGCGCAGTGAGGCTTTGCTGTATAACATGTCGTGTGAACGCTGTGTTTACACTGGTCCTAGTGTGTGTACTGATGCAGTGACCTGCAGATGCACTCAGAGCGCTGAAAGGTGTATTAGTCTCACTGTTTTGAAGTTTTCTCCCTCCTACTTAAGGAATTATTAAAGTGGGGCCAAGAGTAAATTCAAGACGATACTGTTTTTATTAAGCTGCTTCAGGCATGAGAGTAGATATCAGTTTTATTAAAAAAAAAAAAAAAATGTGTGGAGAAAAATGCAAGGTTTGACGTCAGATGAAATCGAGCTGATTGGTAAGAATGCCTAAAAGCTAAATTAAAACCAACTTCCTGTGTTGTGCAGTGAAAACAAACGTCCTTCGTCATGAGGAGGTCTCTCCCCTTGTCTTGCTGGGTCAGGGCAGCCGGCCTGATGCTCTGCCTGATGCTCTGCCTGAGTCAGAGCGCCGTGGCCGTGTTCCTCTCAAACTCCACTCGGCTCGACTCGATCCTGGACAAGTACAAGGGCAAGGACGGGGAGTGGTGGAGGGCGAGGTCGAGAGGGAAGAGGGCCATCAGCGAGGAAGACAAGCACCTGATCCTCGACCTGCACAACAAGCTGCGGGGACAGGTCTACCCTCCGGCCTCCAACATGGAGTACATGGTAAATTTAGAGCAAGCCGTCTGTGCTGTGATGTTTCTCAACCTAATTACATAAAAGAATGATCATTTGGAAAGAAAAAAAAAACTTTTTGTCAAGTCACAATGTGGATACTGGTGTTTTCTGACTTTTAATTCATTGTTTGTAAAGGATCCTTGCTACAGCTATCAGAAGATTTGTATTTGTTTCACCAAGCTTGAGTTGGTACTTAAGTCCTGAGTGGAAGACCGAAACACTGAGGTGGTGAAGAAGGTTTGGTCGGGGAGCGCAAGCGTAAAACTGATTAAAAATGACATTCACTTTCAGTTGCTTCCTGAACATGTTCTCTGTTGCTTTTATGCATGCTCAGTCAATGGGAAGTTGACGCCTCTGGTTATGTTGAGTTGCTACCCCTCGGTTGATTGAGTGCTTTGTGGAGGATTGAACTGCAATTCTGTCTCTGAAGCTCAAAATATTTGGTTAAGTTGAGGAAGAAGGGCACAATCCAATGAAAAACTGCTGCCTTCACAAGTAAAGTTGAAGAAAGGTTTCACAAACTGCAACATTCGAAATAATCTATAATCAATGTCGAGAAACCCAGTTCAGGTTTTACTACTGGTAAAAAAAAAAAACATTAAAAATACCCGGTCTTCATATATTTTTTATCTTTTAAAAACGTTCTGCTCAGTGTAGAACTAATAATAAGACTGAAAGTGAGACACAATCAAATGCATCCCAGACTCATCAAAAAACTGTGAAATAGACTTTTAGTTTAGCACTAACAGGAGCTTTAGAGTTGTTAGTTATTTGGTACCATATAAGCAACCAAGCAACATGTTCCCTAAATGTTTGTACAATGCTTATGTGCAAGACTTTTTTTGTACATTTTAAGGGACCCTTATTGGATTTTGCGGTGAGAGTTAGAGGGAATCATGGGATATTCATGTTGATTTTTCTGAATATGAACTCACAACCAAAACACATCATGGCTTTTGTCCTATTTACATTGTGTAATACTGCATAACATAACCACGCATAAAGGTGTTGATGTGTTTTGGGCCAAAGAGGCTTTAGAGGTACTGCCACTCTCCACTGTTGGAGATATTAATATAAAAAAATATTTAATGTCCAATATACATTCATATATATTTGAGTCAACCAAATACTTTTTTTGTTTGTTTGTTTTGTTTTGTTGTTGTTGTTTTTTTTTTTTTTTACAAAATATGAGGCACTTAAAATCAATTAGCTGCATCGACTGTATACTAAATTTAATTAGTTTCAGTTTAAATCTACTTAAATAGCAACAATTCACAATGTAGGTAATCCCAAGACACTTTACCCACACAATTTAGAGAGACCAATTAATCTTACGGTCATGGTTTAGGACTGCGGCAGGAAGCTGGAGTACCCTGAGAGAACCCACGCATGCACAGGAAGGACATGCAAGCTCCATGCAGAGAGATTTGAACCAAGGATCTTCTTGGATCTTCTTCAACAGTACTACCAACTGGACCACTACTCTAAAGATAAATCATGCAAATACAGTTAAATACGATCTGATATTACATGTAATGTCAGACAGTCTAATTTAGACTTATACCAATTGGTTGAAGGGTATCTACGGAAGCCCAAGTCGGGTTTCAGTGAGAAAGCATCCTGAGAACAAAGTAGTTTCCTGACTGTACAGAGCTGGGAATAATGAAACTGAGCTCTGCAAGCCTGAGCTACTGTCTGGCTCGCCCCTAAGTCATGCCTCCTTCTTGGACGCCCTCACTGACCCTGGCCCAGGTCCAGCTTTCACCCCCACAGTGTTGTCCTGTCCTCCACCTCAACCACCCTGCCCATCGGCCTCCACTTCCTGCCCTGCCTACCCTCACTCCATCATTCCATTTCTCTCCATGTTGACTTTTTTTTTTTTTATGCTTTACTTGCTCAATCTTCTGCCTCACTCACTGGCTATTCTGCACGCATTTCTTCACCGTTTCTTGCTTTCTCTCTAATCCCCGGGCCACATTTCTCCCTATCCATCACAACTCACTCAAACCAATGCTGTGTTTTCTCTGATCCCCCCGATGCCTCTAATTTTGGACGTAACATTGGGGAGCTTGTTTCAAACGGGGTAGACTTCACTGGCGTGGGGCCAGATTAGAGCCAACTCGCCAGTTTCTCAACTCGCACGCGAAAAGATGCCCGGGGAAGTTGTTTTATTGGGCCGAGTCATGCCAGTTCCCTCAGCAGACTCTCTTGATAAGTCAATAACAATCAAAAATGTCCATCATCGCAACCTTTTAAGATGCTACCTTGAGGAAAAACTAACTAGATAGACAGAGAAATACTTAAGCAAAGCATGATTTATTATATTCATCTAGATTTTATTCTTGTCCTCCTACTAATTTTTACATTGACGTTTGTAGTTGGACGCACGTCTGCATTTCGAAAAGTTCTGTTCCTTGGGAAGCGAAGATGAATCGGTCACTTTCCGCGAACCTCTCAGTGGGAGGATTTGTGGAGTCGATTTTCTCCTAAGCTGGATAACTGAGTTGGAAGAATAAGACTGACAAGAAGAACACACTGAGCTGCCAGGGAACGTTAGAAACTGCAGTAAAGTTGGCGCGGCTAAGGCTTCATTTTAATTATTATTTTTTTCGTAAGTAGCAATGATTAATAACTAGGGAGTGAGGGCAGATTTGGGGTTTCCAGTTCTTCAAATGAACGAGGTTCATTGAGCTCTTAATCTGCCAGTAGAGTTAAAAGAAACACTGTTTAAGTGTAAAAAAATAAAAAGAACGTACAGTACCAGCTGTGCTGCAAGCACAGTGCCTCAGAAAAGTATCATATCCTTTATGTGAAAGAGAGATCAGTGTGAAACAGTACAGTAGAAAGAACATGATTTACTTTGGCATGAATGAATGAAATTCAGTGCAACCAATTGAGTTTGCAAGCTGTGAATAGCTTCACTCTGAGAGTAAGTTCATCTGAGTAGACATACAAATAAACTCTAAGACATACGTAGCTCTGGCAGGTTTATGTGGTGACAAAACCGTGTTTTTCTGATGACATTATGTCCTCTAGAAACATAAAATGAAAGATAAATACGCAATCAAGTGAAAGAGGTACATCATATGCCGTGTCATATTGTTTCCACTTACCTCTGTTTCGTAAAGGTAAGCACACCATTTTCTACCGGTTTTCTTCACTTGGTAGTTAGTCCATTTTTAATATCCATGTAAGTACATAACGCCAAAACCGCATATACGATTTTGTTTAATTGCATGTAGGAGAGATTTTATATTGCAGTAAATTCTATTTTTGATTCTCTTTCACATTTTGGGGGCAGTCAGGATTTACTGACTGCCCCCAAAATGTGATCAGTAATGATCCCTGATCAAAGTAAGTTAACTGCGGAGAGCTTCCTTCTGGGTCATAATTTTGAACGGCGTGGCATAACCAGACAGAGTAGAAGACGCAGAAATTTTCATTGGGCGCGACCAGCGTGGACGAGATCAGAGGAACAGAGAGGGAAGGCTGAGATGGTTTTGACAAAAGATAGATAAGAATAGAGGATGTTGGACATGGGAGCTGCCAGGCAACTCCACATCTGGCAACTTGCTATGTCATGGACGTAGCGAAGGAAGACAATGCGATGGTCTACGAGACAGCGGAAGAGGCAACGGATAGACGCAGCATTAATATGTTCTGCAGTTCAAATCTAGGCGTTCTAGTACGTCCTCAGAGGTTTATTGGAAAGGACTGGTGAATTAAAAACCTTCACGAAACCTTAATAACACAAGGGATAGATTTAGACGTCAACTTGTGATCATCGTCTATGTAGCAGGCAACCCAAAGCGTCAAAGTCATTAATTGTAATAGAAAAAGTAAGATTGGGAGGAACAAATGAAAATGAGAGGCATGTTTTGTTTGATTTTGAACAATCAGTATCAATCTTAACCTAACTTTATTGTTTTAGGCATCTTTTTGTACCAGAATAAAAGGGGTAAAGGGCATCAGGTCTCCCTTCATAAACTTTGGCACCGGTGCGTTAGCTTTATGCGGAGCATATGGTAAGCATTATGGTGGTCCACAGTTAAGCATTATCCTATTACTGTTGACACAAGATAGGCATAATGCAGCTAAATGGCAGGCCAACAACAGTGCACACTGCATCTATTCTTTGCCCTCCCCAAGTCAACAGTACATTAATTTCACCATGGCATTTAAATTACCCAACCCCCTATGCACAGTCTATTTTGTTTTTTGTTTTTTCTTTTTTTTCTGTTTGCTTCAGAACAAGATGTGAGTGAACTCCATTCAGGTATGTTGGCCTGAATTCACCTCTGTTTTGTTCGGTTCTTACATTTAAGATGGCATCAAGTAGCAAAAACAGAGACTTTCTGTGTTGCTTGTTTTTTTTTTTTCTTTTTTTTTTTTAAGATCAGTTACTGGAAACAAGCTATGAAACAACCACACCGAATAGTAGCACACAGCTGCAAGCTGATGTGGTGGTCTCGCATGTACGTGTCTGTGTGAAGGGAGGCGGACGTGTGTGTTGACGAGGAGAGGCCTAGCTCTTACTGCCTGGTGTTAAAGTCGCAAAAAAAAAAAAAAAAGGGCCTTTGAACTGAGAGTAAAGAGCGGATTCCTCCTTCGGGTTCAGCCTGCCTCATGTACGGCTAGAGCCAAGCTGGTTTTGGTAGAACCTACGTTGGTTCGGTGTCCTTGTACAGAATGATGAAATGTTCAAACAAGTTATGTGTGGCACTTACATCCACAAGTACGGTAAGTGGCCAATTAGCCAACTTAAATCAGCAGGGAGTTTGAGGTTCCCCTGGATGACCACATTTTTTTTTTTTTTTTCCCCCAGATCAAACTTTCTCCCAGCAGCAGCAAGCTGACGCTCCCAGCTCCTTGCTGGGGGCTGATGCTGACCTGAGTTTACCTTTTCTTGTGAAAATAGAATTTTTTTTCCCCACCTCCATGAACGTCGTCCACCGATCTGTGTGTTCATGTGTGCTTTTGTTTTCCAGTTATGGGATTACGAGTTGGAGAGGAGCGCAGAGAACTGGGCGCACGCCTGCCGATGGGAGCACGGGCCGAGCCACATGCTGACACAAATAGGCCAGAACCTGGGAACGCACTGGGGCAGGTGTGTATGAAGCAATACTTTTTAAAGTTTGTTTCAACTGCGGATGTTGCAGGACTGATATCTTCACTCAGAGTGGAATGATACTTCGGTATTGGTGTAGAAAGTTTCAAAGTAAATCACTTTTCTACTGCGATCGCAGCACACTTTTGAAAAGTTATTTAATAAATGTTATTTATTGTGAGAGGGGATGGAGGGGGGAAGCACACATTGAGAAATGATGTTGCAATTTGACTGGTGCCTTCAGTAGCTGCCTACGTAAAACTAAAGCTTATCTTTTGTAGAGCTGGATCAGTTCTTTTAGTTGGTGATCCATGATTTGGCCTTCACGTCGTGGCTGAGTTGCTGCCCCAATCGGTTCCACCTTCTCTTCCCCCGGCAATATTTAGCAGTGAGAAAATTTCACAACTCGGACGTGTTGCACTGGTGCTGTCACATCATCGTACCTTGCATCGTACCTGACTGCAACAAATAATAATAATGATAATAATAATAATAACATATCTTTGTAGATGAAATCTGCATGATTTCATTCAGCGGTGGATACTAAAAGAGTTCTGACAAGGAGGTATATCCTCTGTGATAGTATCGTTTAAATAAAACCTGATCTTCAAAAAACCCATCTCAATCTTCTTCAGTTTTGTGGCACATTTGGCAGACTGATATATTTGCTGGGAAACGAAATATCAAGAGGTTTCATAAACACTGAATTGTATTCAAATGGTCTGTTCATAACAATGTTTTCTGTTTCTTTTCCCTACCTCATAGAAATCAACCGCATATGAAGATAAAATACTTGATTATATATATATTGTAGTTCTTATTGGTGACAGTCTTTATGTTTAAAAATGCATAATTCTTGAACTTTAGAGACAGACCCCCGACCTACCACGTGCAGGCCTGGTATGATGAGGTGAGGTACTACAGCTACCCGTACTCCCAGGAGTGTAATCCACACTGTCCGTTCAGATGTTCTGGGCCGGTTTGCACGCACTACACTCAGGTAGGAATCATCATGTCACTTTTCTCAGAAGCTAAACGAGTACTTGTCGATCTTATTTTTGATCAAGTTGTTGATTCCGTGATTAGGAGATGATCTTAACTGACCAAAGCTCGTCTAAAACAGACTGAGTTCAAAAGCTTGTCATAAGACATAGACATCATTCTTTAATTGTGCGACATCTTTAAATCTCTTCCATCACTAGTGAAATACATTTAAAGCCCAGTGGTCTACTAATGTGCGTGTTGGTGTTTGATTTTCTAAGTGTGCGAAAGGCTGATTGAGTGAAATGAGAATTCTAAGTGTGACAACGGAGGTGTTCAGTGTGTTTAGTTCACCTTCAAGCAGCTTGTAACGTTTAAACATCTTCCTTTTCAGCTGGTGTGGGCCACCAGCAATCGCATTGGCTGCGCCATCAACACGTGTTACAACATGAATGTTTGGGGAATGATCTGGACCAAAGCAGTTTATCTTGTCTGCAACTACTCCCCTCCGTGAGTCCGTGGACAAAGTGCAATTGATCGCAGAAGTGGTTTTGGCTGTTTTCATAGTTTGACAGAAAATATGCAAATGTTGTTTTCTCAGGGGAAACTGGTGGGGTCATGCGCCGTACAAATACGGCACACCTTGTTCTGCCTGTCCAGCCAGCTATGGTGGAGGCTGCCGAAACAACTTGTGCTACAAAGGTAGGGCAGATTTTTGTACTGGTAGACGATCACCTCAGGGCAGAGGTGGGTAGAGTACCCAGAAATTGTACTCAATTACAACATCTTATTCACAAAGATGTAAAAAGTAGCCGTCCAAGAAACTGCTCAAGTAAGAGTAAAAAAGTATTTGGTAAAAAGTCTACTCAAGTACTGAGTAACTAATCAAATTTTCAATCATTTAATATTTAAAAACTACATCATCAGATGGACCAAAATAGTACACTTAAGTGGAAATTTTGGTGTTTTAATGATAAAATCAGAAAATTTTTCAGGATCCATTTCTTTCAATTTTACTCAAATAAGATACTTCATAATAACATTACTTAAGTAAAAGTAAAAAGCACAGTGTAGTAAAAATACTCCTAAAAGTATTTTATTTCCAAAAAGTTACTCATGTAAATATAATTGAATACATCTAACTAGCTACTACCCAACTCTGCCAAAGGGCAATGCATTTTCTGACCCAGTAGGTCGTTTCACCTTGTAATGCAATTTTGAAGCAGTTGTGACCTCGAAATACTTTTATTTAAGCAGGTTAATCTTTTTATTCTCATTTCTGAAAACTGTCACTCGATGCAACTTCAACCATTAAAGAAAATGTTATAAGATGTTGAAACACAACACTTGAATGATAGGACGTCGCGTTGTTTCTAGACGGTGGCGTCGAACGGCATCCAGCTCCTGAAACGGAGGAAAACAACTACATTGAACCAGAACCAGTAAGAGACAGAGAGCCCCAGCCAAGGGTCCGAACACCAGACCCATCACTGAATGAAAACACGGAGGGAAACCAAGTTGCCAGTACAGAGCAGATGTGTATGCACGTCCCTCTTTAATAAACCTTCTTTACCGATACGTCTGTATTCATTTCTTAAAGCGTTTTGACTCCAGCTAAAGTGATTCTTTGTTGTCTCACAAGCCCAACAGGTTGAGTGTGAGACCAAGCTGAGAGATCAGTGCAAGGGAACAACCTGCAACAGGTAAAACGTCAGCTGAAACAATTCAGTGCGCACACCGGAACCGTTTTGCCACGTTTGCGTAACATTGGTGCTGCGGGACTGTTGACCCACATGCAGCCTCTGTCCACAGATATGAATGCCCACCTGGTTGCTTTGAGCGACCTGGAAAAGTAGTTGGGACTTCTTACTACGACATGGTAAGTGATCACTTAAACGGAGACAGTTCGTGTCTTTTGGAAAGAAGTTCTGTCGAAAGGTTGTAACCAGTTGACCTTACGTACAGTAGATGACCCTGTTGGTGTCTTCAAATCTAAGAAGGTAAATCCAGATGAATTGGTTCCCAGAAGCTGAAGTCAGCAGGTTGTGTGAGGGGCCAACACTAAAGCCAACCTCTGCTGTTCAGAAATAATCTCCAATATGTCACAGCAGTTTACTGATGATTATATGCACAGGATATGGACGTGAGAGGCGGCTTGCCACCAGTGGTCTTTGTGTGTGAAACATGTACTAAGAAGAGAATGTGAAAGCGCTTTTCCTCTCACAGTAACTGCTGTAACAGTAAAGTGTGTTAAAAGTAAAAAAGTAGAGACTAGTATTTTAATTATTTTTACTTTTGTTGCTAAACAGATACTCTGAGAAACAATATATATGTTGCATTTTCAGCATGTGTTTCACACAGGAAGAACATTGGTGGTACACCGCCTCCAGAATACATTCCCTCTGTAAATTATAATTTAATTCTTTGGAAACGACTACATAAGGGAAACAATATCAGAGTTGAGAGATTCCTAAAATATCTCTTATATAAACTGCGAGGATACGTTTGAAATTCTACTTTAGGCTGCTAGAAGTACACTGTGGTCTCATTAGCTTTATCTTCTGGGATCATTTAACTTACATTTATGCCAAAAGATGAGAAAAGAGTCTTTTACCAGAATCCCAACAAAAACTGTGAAGTTTCACTGAGAGACAACCACCAACACCATTACTGTATGTCGTAACGCCTCGTTTGTAAAGACTGAGATAGACTTTGACTCATCTTTCAGCAATCCAGTGTGTGTGGAGCTGGGCTGCACTCTGGGGTCATTGACAATGACGGGGGATGGCTGGATGTGACCCGACTGGGTAGAAAACAACTATTCACCAAATCATACAAGAACGGCGTCCAGTCCATTGGGTAAGAAATTTAACGTCGTGCCCGCATGGACATCTACGAAGTTTCTTACCCTGCATTTGTTTAAGTACCATACATCATCCAGGTCACTACCCTTTAATCATCTTTGCAGGAAAAATAGAAGTGCCAATTCCTTCAAAGTGGAATCAGTACCTGGTAAGAATTATTTCTTTTTCTTTTTGCTGTTATTTGCATAAGAACATACTGCGGAACAACTTTTAGCTGCATCTGCTTTGTTTTCCAGTAAAAGCAATAAGATGCGATACAACAGTGGCACATTTCTGTCCTTTCAAGAAACCCGTTCGACACTGTCCCAGGTACGACTCAGAGACTCTTATATTAATCACATGTTGTTTTCTAGTCATGTTGTAATCAAATGCATCAGTTTCTCACTGGCAGAGGTCTTGTTTACAATAAAATATATTTATATTGCTCCCATTTTTAAAAAAAAAAAGATGCCATCCCAAGGCACTTTAAATGACGTAACAGGTTCAGTTACATAGAGTTGAACTCAAATCAGTCCAATTCAATGCGATATAATCCAATCATAAAGTCAAAATAAAATGACATTACATGCAGTCTATTCCAGGGGACAGTTCCAAATATCTAAAAAGAAAATAGTTGGTGGTGGCGGATTACAGAGTAATTGACCTCGCAGCAATCCCTCATCCTTAGCATCCTTACCATGTGAGGACAGAGTGGAGGAGCCGCTCTCACTTATCAGATCAGGAGGACACAGAAACAATGAACGACAATCTTTATTGGGAAGGAAAATAAAGAGCAGACAGAGTCACAATTTTTGTTCTAGAAAGACACAAATTTGAAACACTGGGACAGCACTAACTTCTACTGGAAGGAAAAACCACGAGGATCTAAGGGCAGCAATAGCTCGGTTCAGGAAAGAGACGCAATTAAGCTCAGACTTCATGAGTACTGTCTATGGGTTTACAAAAAAAACCCCTGAATCTTTCATCACATTCTTTGACGTGGGACTACAACGGCAACAGCCAAATTGTCAGAGTTGAGGTTTGCTATGGAACTACCATGGAGAAATCAGCATCCTTTTCGTTTCCCCCCTTTCCCATCTGGAGAATGGGAAAAGGAAAACAAAATAGACATGGGGAAAAAAAGTGCGACTTTTTACATATCTGATTATTAATTCACTCACTCTACTTTCTTGCTGCTACTTGAAAAAACATCAGGAAATATCCAACGACTTTACCTTTTTCCAGGTTGTATTGCCCCAAGAACTGTTTGCATGACAGTCGAGCTCGAGTCATCGGAACAAAGTACTACACAGACGTAAGTGTTTCCATCATTAATAACTCCTGTTCTTTGTTTTTGTTTTATTTTTATTTTTTTTTCACCTTTTGCAGAACGGTAAATAATTTGCTTTATAATATGTTGTGAAGAAATCTAGCATCTGCAGAGCTGCCATCCACGCAGGAGTAATCCGGAGCGAGTCAGGCGGCTACCTTGATGTGATGCCGGTGGACACACGGCGGCAGTACAGCGGCAGCTACCAGAACGGGATCAACTCAGAGAGGTAGATCATCTTCAGATCTCTCGGATCTCACGTGCACGGGATATGAAGCTAACAGCTTTTTTTATGCTTTCACATCATCTGATATTAAATCAGACTGAACATTTGCTGGGTCACGCCAGGTACCGTTACTGTTATTATTCCCGTTTTGTAAATGCCAGAATAGTGAGATCGATTTCTATTACTATTTCTGCAACGTCAGAAGTTCACATGCGTCACAATTAATGTGCCACAACTTGGAAGCCCCAGATGTTGGTGACATGACTTTGCATTAAACTACCTCACACCTGTGAGTTACACAGGTGTGCACAGGTGTCACACAAAGCTCCCTTGTGTGACATCTGGGAAAACTCAAAAGAACTCAGGCAGGACATAAGGGGGCTGAATTGTGGGACTCAACAAGCCTTGTGAAACCTTTCTGCACAGTGATGCCACAACAGAAAACTGTTTAGTTTATTACTTTTAGAAATTGTGGAGTATTCATTACTGTAGATCAACATTTAGCTTTGAACTTTTAATATCAGAGCAAGACCTAGAGAAACTCCTGATAGTTTACAAATTTAGAACAAACTTACAAAGTTCGGTAACACTTTATTTGAAGGGGGTTGAATAAGACTGACATAAACATGACATAACACCTGTCATGAACATGAATAAGCCTTCATGAATATTTATGAGTGTTGTCATAAAGCGTCATTCGGTAAATTATGACACTTTTAATACAAAGTTGACATTATTCAAAATGTCTTTGTTATGACAACTTGACATTAACCAAGAAATCATTACTGATATAAATTTGTTATAAAAGTATTACTGATTGCACTTTAAAAATTAGCTAACTTTATGTTATTAAAGGTAAAGTTTGAACAGTAATGATTTCCTGGTTAATGTCAAGTTGTCATAACAAAGACATTTTGAATAATGTCTACTACGTATTAAAAGTGTCATAATTTACCGAATGACGCTTTATGACAACACTCATAAATAATAAAGACATTGAGCAAAAATGTTTAGCTTTAGCAGAACTGGCATCCCGGCAAATCTGTTACAAAGAAACCTAAGAACGGTATTGTCAATCTTTTTTGAGTGGCCATCAGTTACATTTTCCACATCTGTTTTCAGTTGCATTCATTGATTAATGACACAACATTCGTACTTTGTTCAAGCAACATTCACGTTGTTATGTGTCTCAGCAGAAAGTCTTTTTTACTCTCTGACTCATGTTCTTTCAGCTTACTGAACCCCACAGGAGGAAAAGCCTTCAGAGTTTTTGCAGTCATCTGAGGAAAAGCCCCGAAAGGACAAAGTACCGGCGATCGTATCTGAGAAGCCCACCCAGCATGAAATCAAAAACCGATAATTTTGCCCCCAGAGTAAATAACCCAACTTGTCTGACTCAAACACTTCCAAGTTCCTACGTGTGTTTTTCCTCAAGGATTCGCTTGTTTCTTAGGTCATCGGTGATCTGCTTTCCAGTCAGCCTGTGGCGAAGGATTTTCTAGAATTATAGTTTTTCAAAGTCTTCTGGTCTGAACCTTCAGAGTCAGCCGCAGAATACACGTGTGCCCACAATGCGCTTGTGGCTGCCGTGATATCGTGACATCATGCTTCTTAACACTTAAAAATAACTATTGCGCAACCAGATAGCTACGCCGTTCCAGCATGTAATTTTAGGCGTTAAGGTCAAAGCCTGATATTACTTTTAGTCAGAACATTTCAGATCTCCTGAAGTTTTTTTTCTACATGCAGCAACTAAATAAGGGGGAAAAAATGACTCAACTAGCATTAAAGTAGGAAGCATTGTTACACAAGCTTTCTAAAATTAAAGTTTGAGATAATCAAAATGTGCAGAAACACATACAGTTCCAATAGCGTAGGACTGCTTTTAGAAACTTAGACACAGTTTATGCATTTCTGATCATCACTGGCAGGAATTACCTATTAACTTTGAGGTGTTAAAGATTTATTTGAAATGTTAATCTTCCAAACAAGAATCCAATCCACTGGTTCAAAATCTAATGTATACACAGATTCCGCGTTATTATTTGGCCACAAGAATCCTTAGCAAGTTGCATTGTTTTCCGACTGGACGTTCAACCGCTCTTCTGTTTTAGAAGAGCTTTAGTTGAGTTTTAAATTGGTCCGTTTCCTGGCCTGGACTCAGGAAACTCTAACCCTAATCCTTCCTAAATCCGATGAAACGCTCAGGTGTCTCCAAGTCTCAAACATCTGACTCAAAGTGTTGCCTTCGGATGAAAAGGAAGCATCTTAAAGATAACAGCAGTGAGCCAAGCTTACTTTCAACATGGCCCAGAAGCAGGGAAGAAAACCTCACTCCAAAGTCGACACCTTTGAGCTTGAATTCATTGTCCGGCTGCCCAAACGGACAAGCTGCATGCTTTCAGGTGTCAGACGAGACAAAGAAGGTTTCGTCTGATGCGTGTCAGAGACTTCAACATCACCTCAAATCAGGAGCAAGACCGACGGAACGAAGACGCATAACGGTGTTTTAAACTCTGGATGAGTCAAATTAAATCCAAGCTCATGGAAGGAGAGCAACATAAACGAGCTATACAGGCTGTATTGAGGAATATTTAGCTTCTAATAAATCATCAGAAACCTTAAATTAGTGTCAAATTCATGTCAGCGATGACTATATGTAAAGTTCTGACTGGGAAAATATATGAACGAAATACATTTTTCAATTTTAACTTTAGAAGTTCTACTTTTAAGTATTTCTCACTATGTTCATTTATTCATTGTCCACTTATAGCTAAACAGGCCACAGGGATTGACTGCTGAACGGAAACATAACATGGGCTAAAAGGCACATTGTATATTTTTGTACATAGTTCTGTTGTACATAATGCTTAAAACATGCTTGCTGTTGTCGTCTATTTCTGTCTACATTTTTTCTTTTTTTTTCAAATTTTTGGAGGCTGTACAAACCCCCACCCCCCCAAAAAAAAGTGCAAAATGATGAAAGTCAAACAACCTGCATGCAAAGATATATATTTGCAATGTATGCATTTCTTTTAATAAATTAAAAAATCTACACTAATGTCAGTTTTGTATAAAAATTGTAACATATTTGATGTTTTTCCACTATATTTTTTCAGCTTCTGTTTAATCCTGGCTGGCCAGGAACCTGCATGGCAGAATCACGATTAAAAGAGTTCAAACCTCTCCGTGTCGTTTCTTGTCATATTTCAGATATTCACCTACAGACCCATTTAACTTTGTGTAAAGTAAGGGTTAAAATCTAGTATAACATATAATCAAAAATGATAAATGGAAGTTTTTAAGATACAGTACTATAAATTCTGTAGTAACAAAGTTTATTATTTAACAACGAGGATCCATCTGAAAGTATTACATGAGTTTATGGGGCCGGATATTCACATGTTTCTTATTTCTTCCTGCTCCTTTTTGGAGCACGTTCAGATTATTGTGCCACCACAGAAATGTGTCTTTTGCATTCTTTGTTCGTGTGTGAGCTTTATACTTCCATCATGTTCGAAATAAAATAAAAAAGAAAACATAAAGCGATACATGGTTTCATATTGCACTTATATGTATCCTCCTTTACCTTAAAAAACAAGCAAATGACTTCCTGGAGTTACCAAATTATTTGTAGAGATTTGAATTACTATCTTGGTAAAATTAAATTATTTTATGTTTCATCAGTCTCACCTAATCAATCAATCAACTTATCTGTTAGATGCAAAATATTTCACTTCCCTGGAAGTGATTCCATTTAAAAAGACCAAGGCGTGTCACTCAGACAGAATCAATAAATCATACTGCAAAATAACTCAACAATCCAGAACGCTAGCACTTTTATTTATTAAATATTCATTATATCCACCTTACTCTTGTGTTCTACTTTATTTCAGTATATCATGTAAAATCCAATAAAATTCCCATATACAAAAGAAAAAGCCTAATCAAATTTGTTTTTACATTTAATGTGATCAAAAATAAAGAACCCGAATGGGTATAAATGCTGTTGCAAAGCTACGTCCTCCTAACCCCAAATGAAAGGTGAAGAGATCACTCCACTTCCCAGTGTATATTTCAGCTATGTATTTTGTTTTTTTTTTGTACATGTAAAACTTTAAATGTGTGTTAGAGCAATCATATTACACCAATCGTCCCACTGTTTAGTTTGCCTGGTAGTAAATATTCAGAAGTCTCAAGCTCAGCCACGGATCAGATTGTGGAGAACTCCGTGTATTTCCAGGAACTGAGGGAACCGCAGAGGAAAAGAAAGCTGGCTGCTGCAGGGCCAAGGAGGAGATCTTATCTTTTAGCTGCTTTTGTGTGTTTGAAGCAGAGTGCAAAAATGTTTTTTTTTTTTTTTTTTTTTTTTTAACCCCCCAAATTAAAAAAAAAAAAACAAAAATTTTTCCCGTTTAGGTTTTAAAAAGTTTTT